CCCCCCCCAACAAAATGCCATGGACCTCTTATGAAGATAACCTCACCAGTGAAAATTGCAAAGCACTTAAGTATACCCACCACCCTGAAGTCAACCAGTAGAAGCAACAAAATAAATGGAAAAAATACATAAAATAGAGAACTCTTAAAGGTACTTTAAAATAAGCATGTCTAAACTATAAGATAAAAAATATTTCCACAAGAGAAAAAAACCAGGAGAATTTGAAATAGAATTGAAAAGAGAAATAAATGTCATGGAAGTAGAAAAACAGACCAAGAAAATCCTTAACAAACAGCTTAAAAAGACTAGACAGAGTTAAAGAAAGATATAGTGAATTGGAAGCTGGATCTGAGAAACTCACCTAGGATGCAGTATAGAGAGATAATGACATATAAAATATGGAAAGATAAGACGTGGAGAGGATAGAAAAAGAGGCTTCGATGTATATCTAGTTGGGTTCTCCAAAGAAAGAATAAAGGATTTATGGAAGGTCAATATGTTTTTTTATAAAACATCTTTTGTCATTTTTGTCAGAGATTTAATACTGGATTAAGTAAACCTTGGGAAATTTCTCTACTTTTTATTTCATGTTTTAATTTTTCCTACTAGCATCCACACTAGTTTGTCTACATTAGTGTATTGTACTAAGGCCGTGACCAGACAAGACAAACCTAGAATGCCTGACATTTCCACAGTCCCTATGTGGATCACCAGAGTTCTCTCTTCAGTGCCCAGTCCACAAGCTGGTTCAACAGAGGTGGGCATTTGACTCAAGCATAGCTATTCCATAGGCTTTTCTTGAAATGGCCTGATGTGAAAAGATGAACTGGGTAAATCACATTCTGTCTCTTGAGCATTTGAAGTAGGAAACTAGGTAAAAGAAGAAACTAAAATTGAAGGTTAATGGTATGACAAATGGCTAGAGAGACCATAATGGCCCATGAGCAAGCTCAAGTTATGATGGAAGAAGTAAGTTACCATGAGTAAGAAGCAGCCATGAAGTAGAGAAGAGCTATGCAGAAATAGGTAGGTGAGGAATCCAGGTGGGAGAGAGAGAGACATTCCAACAGGTCAAATGTGGCTGTGTCTCATTAATAGCAGTCATTAGTGTCTAATTAGTCTCGACCACAGACTCTTTCTGCCAGAATTCCCTGGGGCTGCCTGGAATCCATTTCTAGTTCTAGCAATGCCAAGCTATACCAGAATTTCTGGATCTTTGGTTCAGCTTTTCCTGAGTTACCACTCCTGTTATCCTTCCAATGCACCCATCATTACAAGAGGCAACGTGGTTGAGTCTTTGTTCATTGACAATAGAAGGTCTTAAGGAAAACAGTCCAGATTCACTTAAGTTAATACAATTCATCTAGATTACCTTGGTTGTATTGGGTCCCTTTTTAAACTGTGTAACTCCACCCCGTGGTGTAGGAGTGGAGGGACTTGTGTGGAGTGGGCTGATTTTACAGTTTTTCTCCAAGAAAGTTTGCTGTGCTTGGGTGCTGGCTATTCTCTGCCCCCCTCGTCAGTGTACAGAAGGCAAAAGCAGTAGCCAGTTGAGGTGCTGGTAGGAATAGCGCCTCCTGTGGACCGGCCAACTAACCAGTTTTTAAGGGTGGCAGGACCCCGGAAACTATTCTGGCCATTCGCTCACTGCCTGTGCTGCTACGTTCTTGACTATAAGTTAGTGGCTCAGCCACCCTGTGCCCTGGGCGAAGGCAAAAAGGAGGCATGAGGACTAGCCAGTACTCACATATGCATCCTTTAACCTTTCCTTTTCATCCTCTCTTCAGTCTGGGGACTGCCACATCAGAGGGCTCAGATATCACCTTCCCTCCCTGCAACCTTAAGGAGCTTCATTTATTACATGACACAGAAAAGAAGATTACAGATAGCACAGTATTTTTTTCCCACTCACTAATAGAGAAAACTGGCACAGCAGTGTCTATTAAGATAGGAGAAAGTATAGCTTAGTAATAAAGATCATATGCTTTAGGGAGAAAAAGACTCAGACAATAGAGTCCTGATCCTGTTACTAATTATTGGATGACTGGAAAAGTTACTTTGTCTTTCTGGGCCTTAATTTCCCCATCTGTAAAATAAGGTAAAAATACCTTCCATATAATGTGATGTTGAAAACATTTAATTGGTAGTTCACAAAAGATTGGTCTCCACCACCCGCTCCCCCATCACTATATAGGTATAATATCCAGTTGTTCTGTCTTGATTTCAAATACTATGTTCTTTCTTGTTATCAAATCATAGGGCCAAATTCGGAGTTCATAAGAATATAGTGACCATGGATATGGGGTTCTGAAGAAAGCAGGGGGAAGGGGAGGGAAGATGTGCTCTTTGCTGCCTGCATATCCAGAGCACGTAGTGTGCTTACTGCTTTGCCTAGGAAGACCCCGGGCAGGGGAGTGCACAGGGCCCAGTGTGGAATGGGCCCTGGCCTTCCCAGGTACCTTGGTTCCCTCCTGGCCCATTTCTCTGGTAAGTGTGTACAGAAAAGGCTTCACTCTGATTTATGGGCAGAAAAGGCTTCACTTTGTTTTCTGGTGCATGTCTGTGGTCGAAATCTAGAGCCCCATGAACCCAAATGGCCTGAGAGGATACAGAAGCACCCAGCTCTGCCTCCTCTGACTGTGGTAGCCAGGAGGCCATGCTCTGCAGTTTGAGAGTGAACCAACCCACAGTCCTGGCTTCTGCCTGAGAGCAGGACACTGTTGTCACACATACACACACACACTCACATTTGTACTCTCATTCACTTACCTCCTTTTCTTCCCTCTTTTATCTTCCCCTTTTCTCCTCTTGCCTCTCTCTCTTCTGCCTCCCTCCCCTTCCTCATCTAAGAGTTCCACTTCTCTGGTCATATTCCACTTCTGCCTCCCTGTAGGCACTGTTCCACCCCTTGGTGGCCTTTGGGCTGAAGACACACCAGCATACTCCCCTATGCTCTGCCACAGGGCTGCCAATTCAAAAACTTCCAGATTTCTCCCGGAAGGAATGAAGACACCGCACCAGGTTAAGTGCAGACAAATGCTGTAGTAACCACGCAGAAATGTGCATCTTGAAATCCTTGACCTTACACCCAAGACTCCTTGGATCTTGGCCAAATCTGTCACATCTTGATCTCATGATTCAGAAATGAGGCCGATATTTCCTTGGGTATATCTTTCAGTGATAGGAGAGCAGAGACAGAAGCTTTACAAAATGAATGAGCTTCTTATCTCTGTCCTACAGGGGTTATGGTGGGAATGGAGAGCAGCTAGGATCATTGCTAATTCCAGGACTGGGGAAAAAGATGGAGTGACTGAGTGAGTGGGGTCAGCCTATAGATTACTCTGTTAGGCTTCAGCAGCAGCTATTCCTGCTTTCACACCAAATTGCTCATCTGTTGCCCTCACTGCCCCTACACGTACATGCATGAGAGTGCCTACATCTGCCAGTGCAGAGCTGGAGAAATGCACAGTCACCTTGTCCTCAGACAAGAGGTGCAGTAAACAGCCCCTGTGGCCTTGACTCCTCCGGGGGTTTGTGTGAGGGGTTTAGTGAGTAGCACCAATTCTAGAGAATCAATTAGTAAGAATTTACTTATTTTAATTAGTTTCTCTTTTTGTTTTCTTTTGAAAGTAACATAATTATAAATTTATGGGTTTATGTAGGTAGGGGAGGTACAAGGAGAAAAACAAGAAAATAGAGGGAAAAAATATCACTTGCATTTCCAGGAATCAAACAACCACTATTGACATTTCATGTGCTTCCTTCCAAAGTTTTTTCTTGCATGTTTTTAGGCATTTAAAAAAATTGTGATCATTCAATTTTGTAAAAATTGCCTTTTCCTTTCAGCCTTGTAGCATATATTTCCCCATCACTATGAATTCTTTATAATTACAAGTGCTTTGTAATGGTTTTAAGATATTTCTTTGATGGATATAACATTATTTACTTAACCTTTCCCCAGTTTTGAAAATGTGGGTTGGTTCAACTTCTTGCTGTTATAAATACTGCATGTGGATCATCTCAGGGCATAACGATTAACAAGAGTGCCTTGATATCTAGTGTGTGTCAGATCTTGGGCTAGGTCCTGTGGGGACTATACATCATCTGTAGAGTCAAGGAATTTACCATCTAGTTTTGTAGGTAAAAACATAGTCCTAGGTTAATCCTGAGCTCTTTCCTTTTGTCCTTCCAGATTAATAAAGTAAAAATATACATTATGCTGTCGAACTAAAAAAAGAAAAAAAGCAAGCAAGCAGAACCAAGAAAGGATGTATATGTTGATTATAGTTAGTATATAGCACCTATCTAGATTGGCCAAGACAGAAAATGAATTTATTGGTAATAGCAAATGTTGTGGGGGTGGGGGGGGGGAGATATTAAGTTCAAACAGCAATCGACTTGAATTTTAGTTTGCATGGTAAGTATCTAATAACTGACACCAGACTATATATTTTCCCTCATTTGATTGAAATATTTTGATTAGAGTTGATTGTTTTTCATATATCCCAAAATATGTAAATGTTCATTAAGGATGCATTAAATTGCAGCCAATATTGATGGAGGATTATCTGAGTTGCAGTTCCGATTTTTATGGGCCTGTTGAGATCTACTCTTCCTTTGTTTTCATTTTTACAACTACTTAGAATCTCATGGGAAAATATTCCAAAAAAGAGCTATGAAATTCATAAAACCGCAGTAGATTAGAAAAGAATGTTACAAGGGTGTGTATGTGTGTGTGTGAGTGACAGGGTGTTACCACAGAGCATGGGTGGGGAAAACACGGGGAGAAAGACAGCAGAAGCCGATTTGAAAGATGCTTTCAAACACCAAGATTGTGGGATATTAGAATGAAGTGTGTGTGCACCAGAGAGCCAAGTCCTTCCAAATCTGAGCATTAGAAATGATACAGTAATAGGCACTTCTCCAAGTCTTGGCAGAATGATTCAGTGCTTCCGTCTGCTGTGAACAGGGATGCATCTCAACTTGTTTTCTTCTTTCAGATTGATGATCCTAACAGCAGCCTTGTGGAGGTGATTAATGAGGCTGAGGCCATCACTTCTGTGAACAACCTGGGAAACAAGCAAGCCTTGAATACAGATTACCTTGATTCTGATTACCAAAGAGGACAGTTGTACCCATTCCCCCTTAGCAGTGATTTCCAGGTGGCCACATTCACTCTCACAAACTCAGTTCCGATGACCCAGTCCTTCCAGGAACGGTGGTACATGAATCTCAACAGCCTAATGGACCGGGCCTTGATCCCACAGTGTGGCAATGGAGAAGACCTATATATCATCACAGGTGCAGTGCCCTCAGACCGCAAGGTGAAAGACAAAGTGACCGTCCCTGAGTTTGTTTGGCTGGCGGCCTGTTGTGCTGTCCCTGGAGGAGGCTGGGCCATGGGCTTCATCAAGCACACCCGGGACAGTGATATCATAGAAGATGTGATGGTGAAAGATCTTGAGAAACTGCTTCCATTTAACCCTCAGCTGTTCCAGAACAACTGTGGTGAAACTGAGCAGGACACAGAGAAAATGAAAAAAATCCTGGAAGTGGTTAACCAAGTCCAGGATGAGGAGCGAATGGTGCAATCTCAAGAGAGCTCTAGTCCCCTCCCCAGCACCAGGAGCAAGAGGTCTGCTCTGTTGCCTCCAGAGGCAGCCAAGGGGAGTAGTAGCTTTTTGGGAAAACTCATGGGTTTCATCGCTGCCCCATTCATCAAGATTTTCCAATTAATTTATTACCTTGTGGTAGCAATCCTGAAGAACATTGTCTATTTCCTGTGGTATGTTACCAAGCAGGTGATTAATGGTATAGAAAGTTGCCTTTACCGCCTGGGCTCAGCCACTATCTCATACTTCTTGGCCATTGGGGAAGAGTTGGTGAGCATCCCCTGGAAGGTTCTTAAGGTCATGGTCAGAGTCATCAGGGCCATTCTCCGAATCCTCTGTTGTCTGCTGAAGGCTGTTTGCCGTGTTCTAAGCATCCCTGTCCGAGTCCTTGTGGATGTGGCCTCTTTCCCTGTGTACACCATGTCCGCAATTCCAATTGTGTGCAGGGACATCACAGTGGGGCTTGGTGGCACCATCTCTTTGTTCTTTGACACTGCTTTTGGCACCATGGGTGGCCTATTTCAGGTTTTTTTTAGTGTCCTCAAGCGGATTGGCTCCAAAGTTACTTTTGACAATTCTGGGGAGTTGTAGAACTCAAAAAACCAATAGTGTCCATTCACAGTGAATTTGATTTTTTTAAATAGAGAAAGCTGGGATAGTTTGTCTCTACCATGGGTTTCTGTTCACTGTCAATGATCATAATATTTCACCTTTGGTGGGGGTGTCTGCCTGTTTTTGCACAGGAAGATGGCACAGTTAAGACTTGACCCAAGAGAAATGCTCAGGATGGAATTAGATGTAGTAATCAGCTGTGTACTTCCAGTTATCTGTGCAAACTTCCAAGCCACTAATAATTTCGTTATTCGCGCTGATGCAGATGACCACCTGAAAGCTGTGGTGTCCACTGGGGATCATTAAAAATTACAGAGGAGGAAAGAATTAGAGGACAACTTTAAAACAAAGGGTATCTGAGAAGTGAAGAAAGGAATCTCGTTTCTCCCACCACTCTTTGGGACTTAACATAAAACAGGTTTAATATCCTTGGCCAATTTCTTAGCATTTGCTTCTCTTTCTCCCCAACTCAACTGACCTTGGTGAAGTGCAGGTGATGCTTTGTTGAAATAACATCATTAGGGATACAGAATCTGCTGTCTGTCTTAGCTTTCTCTGGTTTCCAAGGACCTATAAGGTTTTTATTTTCCTCCAAAGTTGAATTTGGCTGCATTTTTCTTTTAGGTAATGATAAGCATTTAATGCCAAACATGGCATAACAGAGTTTGAATGTAAGGGCAAAGATTTTCTTCCCCCTTAAATGGTGTAATAGATTCCTCTCAGGTGTAAAGAAAGGAATGCAAGGGTGACAGCCCTGCTCTTAGTAGGTGCTGTAGATCCAGGACATCCTTAGCCGAGCTTGCGTTAACTTGACATATATTAAATCTATGGCCGACCAGATTGAGCTCAGAGACCTACATGTTAAGCTAATACGAAAATTTATAGTCTGCAACATGCTGTATCTTTCCAATGCATCAAGTAAGAACCCAGTACAGTAAAACACTCTGACTTAAGCCTTTAAATGACTGTTTTGGTAAAACGATACAGAAAAGAGTCACAAAATAAAAGTCATCTCAAATGCACATACGCACGTGCGCGCATGAGGGCACTTCAAAAAGTTCATGGAGAAGTAGAATTAAAAGATCATCTGCATCTTTCTGTGAGCTTTTTGAAGTACCCTTGTGTGTATATATATATATATATTTATTTAAGTATAATTATCTCTTAGAAAATTATTTTTTATAGTTTATTTGAGGCTAGAAAACATAACTCCTGTACTAACGCAAGTTAAATTTGAGATCTCGTTTCCTATTTTTTGATCAAGCACTTGTCATCTTAAATCTAACACTAAAAATGGTAACAAGAGGAACCAAACTTTGTTCTGCCTTTCAGAGCTGGGATGGAATCATCTGGATTGTTCTGAGTGTTCTAAAGAGTTGCCTTGAAATGAGAGGGGGCCAAGTGTGAAATACTGATCTTGGGCATGCAACCCACCATTCATCAGAAAGTTAGATGCAAAAACTTGGGGTCCGGAAAAGCAGCAAGGAGAGAGCATGTGTCAACCATTTACATGAGGCTGGTGAATAAGAAATGTGAGTGTATCAAGAGTTATATTTTGCAGAAAAATAGTTGAATTACACCCAGAGTAGAGCAGCAGATGGAAAGCTGCCATCCTGATCAGTTTGTGATGCAGCACTGGGGAGTATGAGCACCAGGCTAGTTCGTGATAGAGAGATACACACTGGATTTATCTAAGGATCTTAAGCAGTATTTTACCAACACTTTTGCTGCTGGGCATGAACATCTGTAGTTGGGCTTTCCTTTATCTAGCAGTGTGAAGGTAAATGGAAAAGAGAGGGAATCTTAGAAGTGACCAGAGAGATGGTCTGGCCAGACCCTTATTTGATAGGGAACCCAAGGCACAGGGAGGCAACAGGCTTGCCCTCAGTTTCATGGTTTAGCTGAGAGCAGCTCAGGACCCAAGGTCCTTTGCATGGGTCCCATCATACCTAGGATGTCGGATAAGGGGAGTGTGTGCTGTACGTCAGCTGCCTCCCTGGACTATGGCAGGATTTTCTCCATCAGACAGATTCCAGGCCTGGACTAATCAAGTCGATTTGGCATGTGTGATGAAAATGATTAGCCATCCATGTACAACATCATGCTTACTATGTCCCATGAGAGCTAAATTCCCTCACAGTACATGTGTGCATGCCAAAGAGCTCCAAGAGGCCACCCATGGCAGCTTGAGCCCCGTAGCACCATGCAAAGAACAGGGCAGCCAAAGTGCTTCTTGAAAACCATTTAGAAATGTCTTCTTTCCCACATCCAGTTATTTAGTGTCTATTTATTCTTGCCTTTTTTGGAAAGTAGGGATAATAAGGCAAAAAATATCCTTAAGGTTAGGTTGCTGAGACTCTCCACTGTGGGCCGCTAGTGCTGGCTGTAGCTCTGATTCTCTGGAGCTGGCTGCGTTGGGCTTGAACCCCCTGCAGGAGGCTGGACTGCTCGCTTGTTCCTTGTGAGCTGCTTTGGACTTTGAGGTGGGAATTTGGGTTGGTGAACCCCATCTGTGGCTTAAAGATTTTGCTGTGGCTGTGTTATTTTCTCAGACCCTGGGGAAGGTCAGCCAGCTTTTTATTATTACAGAGGTGATTTTCTAGTCTATGGATCAGCCACACCTTTGGACACTCCTGTTTTCTGTTGTGCCTTTTGAATGTTGGCTTCTCACCCAGCATCAGCTCTTCACCTACATGCAGAGTCGGGAGTTGGAAGAAGGAACCAAAGTGAAGCACTCTGTATTGATTCAATCATTCCTTCATCTATCAAACGTGTATTTGGACATCAAGGCTGCACAGATGAACAGTGCATGGACCCCATATTTGAGGAGTTCAGAATCTGGTGGAGAGAACATGTGGTACAATTGATACTTGTAACATCGTGGTAAGTGCTACAGTAAAGACACTAGCAACACACTCCCTGGAGCACAGGAGGAAAAGCCACAAAAGTGTGGAAACTAGGGAAGCCTTTATAGAGGTCCTATTTCTTTATAGAGGGTGTGACAAAAGTCCACTGGACATTTTCAAGCTATGTACAATGCTGTACACCTTGCAGATGCTCAATAAAGTAATTATTGACAATTCAGGAGTTCTATGAAATTTCTAGAAGGGGAGAATCCTAAATGGTTAAAATCTGTGATTTTTATTTTTGCTGTTTTTCTTCCTGATCCACATTAACTCAAGCAGTTTCCTGTCACATCTGACTTTTGTTGTTTTTTTAAAAACTTGGGCCGGCTCGTGGCTCACTCGGGAGAGTGTGGTGCTGATAACACCAAGGCCCTGGGTTCGGGTCCCATATAGGGATGGCCGGTCAGCTCACTGGGTGAGCGTGGTGCTGACAACACCAAGTCAAGGGTAAAGATCCCCTTACCGGTCATCTTTTAAAAAAATAAAAAAATTTTAAAAAATAAAATAACTGGTGCTGACAACACCAAGTCAAGGGTAAAGATCCCCTTACTGGTCATCTTTTAAAAAAATAAAAAAATTTTAAAAAATAAAATAACTTTTTTTTTTTTTTGAGTCATACGGGAGAAAACAGAAATCTGGATCAGTGAAGCAGGCGTTAGATCTAGTCAGTGTTAGGTCTCTGAAAAGCTATTTGAGAAATCAAGTATTTTTGATATGACTTCATAAATAAGCACCAAAGGCTTATCACTTCACTGAATCTGAATCTTGTAGAATGTTCTAAAAACACTCTTATTTGTTTATTCATTAGGAAACTCCCTCAGTGTGAGACATACAAGCAGTCTGAAGCTGGATGGGTCCTTTCTGTGGCCTTTTGTAGGGTGCCCCTTCTGGGGTACAGGTGGCAGTAATTCCTGGCTGCCTGCCCAGTGTAGGCATGTCTTCTGTGTGAGTCTGTGTCTTGTTGAGCATTTTGCCTAAGTTCACCACACAACTGGTGTTTTTCCAAATGTGAGACTATAAGCAGTATAGTGTGGGTTGTTTGACTTTCATAAATGGGTTCTCAGACTTATTGTCTCTTTTGGCAGGTATTTACCACAAATCATGGGTTGATTTCTAACAATTACATTCCAAAACAGTTTTTAAGCTTAAATTTCAACAAAGAAAGTGCTCCTGGCCACTTGTTATTGTTTATTATCCACAATAGGGTGTTTTCAGGAGATGGATATAGTTATTCCTAGAGGCCAGTGTTGCCTACTGGTTAAGAGCCTGGGCTCTAGAGTCAAAATGATATAGGCTCAAATCCTTACTTACTGTGTGGTCTTGGGCAAGTAACTTACCTCATCTATAAAACATGGCTAATTATTACTACCTACCTCGGAGGGTCATCATGAGCATTAATTGAGTAAATGAACATAAAGCATTCATTAATTACTATGCCTGTCACTTGGTAATTGCTCAGCAAATGTTAATTGTTGTTGCTATAGCTGTTGTTGGCAATAATATCTGCACATCTTAGAAGCAATTGGCTGGAAGTTGCCTTAGAGGTCAGGATGTTTCTAGATAAAACTGGAAAGACCGGGGTTAAAGTACAGTGTGGGAGTCGAAGTCGTGAATGAAAATGAAGGAAGCCAGAGACTGATCAGAGGTGTCCATGAATCTGAAGGTACAGGTGAGTGTTGGACCTAGAGTCTCGCAAGAGGAAGGTCAGAAAACTAATTCAACATGTCTCCAGCACTATTCAAGGAGAAAGACATGAGTCTTTCTTGCCTCTGGAGGAGAGGGGTATTTATTCCAGTCTTCCACCCTGCTGAGTCCATGGTCTTATAACAGATTCAGCTTCCCCAGAACCTTATTACTTGGAAGAGAGTGAACTAGACAGAGAACTTGCACACTTTAGCTGCTGAAAAGGATGTTGTAAATAGTCATTCTTTATTCTTTAGCCTTCTTTGAGTTAAGGCATTATTAGTCCCAAAAGACTAATTGGTTCTCAGGTATTAAGAAGATAGAATTTCTGGATCCCATAGTCGACCCCCTAGGCCCTGTACTAGAACGATCACCCACCTTCCCCCCAGCCAACCCACAGTCACTACGCACAGTCTCCATGAGGCCCTGCCTCCTCCTCAGTGCCGTGTTCGGGTTGTCTCATTCCATCCGCAATACCTATGTCCAGAGCAGGTGCTGACAACACAATTTGGTCTTTGGAGGCTTGAGTATGATATGAAAGTGCATGCTATCTCTGCAAACTTCATAATAATACACCATTTTAAAATAAGACATTATTTTTATAAAGAATCCATACTAATCAGATGAACCAAAATATAATTTTGATAATTAAGAAATTATAAAAATGATAAGGGGAACTACCTATTCTGTGTATCCTGACTTGTCCCACTTAAGGAATCCACCTAGGACAAACATGAGAAAGCCACACCAGCAGATGCTCGGAGCCTGTGAGATTAGCTCCTGAAACATCTTATTCGTTGGCAAGTTCCACTCTCTCCTGGCCTCTTCACTG